TGAAAGAGCTATTAACAATGGCACGGAAAATGAAATCCTTTCATATTTTTTATCAAAGTTAATACTTTCCTTAATTTGATTTTGATTTTTAATACTTTTTCAACAATGTCTTCAGAAATAGTGATGTCTATAAGATCACTATTTCTGAAAAAAAGACCCTCAGTTTCTGAGATATTTTAGGACTTTCATATTCTGGTGGGTGGATGGAATGCATACCCCCTTCCCTCATGAATCCGTCACAGATAAGATATACAACATTAAAACATAAGTAAATCTTTATGGAGTTATAAAAAATAAATCATTGACTTGTTGATTTGATGCAAAGGTTAGTTTCTTATAACAAGAAACATTTGAGAAATGTCACACTCTAGCACTAAATTCACTTTCAGTAAGAATACAAAAACTCTTGTAAGTTTCTTCTTTTAATTATTGGTTATTTTTTTCAGGTAAAGATTTCAGGTAAATCTCGTATAGGATTTGTTTTAGCCAACTATAATAAAACAAGATATTCCATTTACAATCTCTGGTCTCATTTCTACCAATCATCTCTCAACCAAACTACTCTTCACATTTTTGCTATTAAATTTCATTAAAAATCAAACAAATGTCTTGAAATGTAACAAATTAAAAAAGTTTTGCACAACTTAAAGCATCAGTATTTCTGCATGTTTTTTTTTTTTTTGTCGATGATATTGATAGTAAAGGCAATCCAATAGTGAATAATATTGGATGAAAAAAATGTTTTCTTTATACATTTAAGTTACTGTATTTATCCAATAAAAAAATGTACTGCTTGTGATTTAATATGGAAAATTAAATTAGAAAGCAACAAGATGCCTTTACAAGATAAACAACAATCTCTTTCATGATGAAATCACTGAGCCAATGGCAAGATTGAACCTTTGTAAAACAATCTAATGTGGATTTTGTTGTTTATGCGGGTACACTCTGTAACCGCTGGAATAAAGGAAGGACTATGGACTCAATTTATAAAAAGTTACTTAATATTTTTAGTTCAAAAATGAAAAACAATCAGGGGCAATATTTTCGTTAATATTGTCAAAATTTTGGTTGGTGATTTTTTTTAAGATAAGTTAAGAGATTTTACATGGCGCTTTAGATTTTTTAATTAATTGAAAGCGTTGTTCGTATTATCTATCTTAAACTTTTTTTTCTTCAAAATCTTTGATGCTTACAAAAAAAATTAGTGGGTGTTTAATCTTTTCTATTAGCAAATTTAATTGGATTTTTTTTTAAAACTCTTTATTTTTTGCAAACACTATTGTTGATAATTCACCAATATAATTTGACTGGCTAATCACAATGCTACTTTTGTAAAACATATTCTTTAAAATTCACAGTTGGTTTTTCAACGAAAAAACTTATTTTTTTCTTTAAAATTCAAAATATCTGGCTGCATAACTAAAGTAACCCATATTTGAGAAGGAAAAAGTTTTTAATTTCAAATAGCATTTCAAATGTTTTAAAAAGTATTTTTTTTGTTTTTTTTCTAAATTTTTAAAATTTGGGCTGCTATTAGGTAAAATTTGATTTTATTTTGATAACGTTTTAGTTTAATTTCATTTTAATATCAGTTTAAACTCTATTAAAATAAAATTTCATTCAGGTCCTCTAAAATTTTTTGGGGCCCCTAAATTTGCGGGGCCTGGGGCTATAGTCCCCCCTAGCCCCACCCCTTGATCCGGCACTGTTAAGCAAAAGAGTGTGTAAAGTTCAGAATCTCTGCCCTTAGTTTTATATATTCGCCAAATTTTATTAAAATCTATTAGTTACATATTTAATTTACTTATGGAGGATAAGGTGAGGCAATTTTCATAGCAAAAAAATAATAATAAAAAATAAAAGAGTTAAATATTCCTGAGTTACAAATGTTTTTCTATTAGTTATAACAGAAAAGTAAATTTTTGATTTTAGATGAGTTGTTGAGGTTCCTCTAGGTTCCAACAACTTTTATGGATCTTAATATTTGTGAAAATTATTATTTAAAAACAATCAACCTGTGATATAAAAGAAGCAGAATTAGATGCTGATTTTGAAAATAATTTTGATTTTTATTCAAAATTTAAATTATAAAAAATATAATTTTTTTTTTTGTGCTAAAAAACCCCCTTTTCAAAATAATTTGTGAAAATAATTAGAAAAAAAAATTCACTTATATTAGTCAAAAAATGTTGATCCTTGAGAAGCCTCAAGAACTTATCTAAAAGAAAAAAAATTAAGATTATTTATTTACTAAAAGACAACGATTCGCAACTCAGGCATATTTAATTTCAAAAAATTTTCAAAACGCTCCACCCTATTGGAGATGGGAATTGCTTTAAATTGCTAATATATCATTTAAAACGCAAATTACATAGAAAATGTAACAATAAATTGTGCTTTTGTTAAGAATATTATAAATCTGCATTCTTTATTGGCTTATTCTTAATGGTTAAATTTATGTAATTAACTTTGTTTCACATTGTCACAAGACAACAGTCCTTAATACCTCTGTGTAGATACTGAAAAAGCTAAAAAGGTCTCATATATAACTCATTTTCACAAAAAACTGGACAACCGACCTTAGTCTTCTGAGGTACAAAAATAAACAACGGAAAAAAAAAAAATTAGCTGTTTCGTTTTGAGGAATTTCCAAAAACTCTCCAAGGAATTTTTTTTTATTTATTCTCATAAACAAATAAGAAAACTTAAATACTTTCTCTAATTTTTTTTAGCAAAAAAAAAAAAAAAAATTGACTATAGGAAGAAAAGTGCTCAAATATAACCGTTTTAACCGTTGTAAAAAAATCACGACAGCCGAAAATTATGATCAACATTTTACAGAAATTCTTTATATATATATATATATATATATATATATATATATATATATATATATATATATATATATATATATATATATATATATATATATATATATATATATATATATATATATATATATATATATATATGTGTGTGTATGTATATATATAAAATTAAGTTGATTTAACTGTTCATTGTATTTCGTAAACACAGTTTATACAAATAGCCGATTAACTGCATTGTTTTCATAATTTTATTTTGTAAATATTTTCAACCTAGATAAATAGCAAGATAATTTTATAATTTATGATAAGTTAAGAGTCGAATAAATTATAATAATTGATTATAATTAATCCTTATATCAACAGTAATAAATTTTAATATATGTCAGACTAAAATACGTTTTTACTGTGGTGGATGAGAATCGTTTTAAAATTTTAACTTTTAACCGTTGTAAAAAAAAAATCATGAAAGTCGAAGAGTATGATCAACATATTACAGAAATTCTTTCTAAAGAAGTTCCATTTGAAAATATGACTTCTCCGTTTAATTTTGATGATATTTTATCGTGGGTTTCAGATGAGCATTACGATGTAGATGTAAATTAGTGACGTTTTTAAATTTATTAAGTTATATTATATTTAGTTTTTGTTTAGCAATGTCACAAATAAAAATTACTTTTTTTGTTATTATAGAAATCACTTAGCGATGTTCAATTGACAAATGAGTCTTCTAGCTCATCAAATTACACACTCGACAGAAGTTACTCGCCAGAAAGGAGTTACTCAACCAGTTCGATTGATACGACACCAGATGACCCATTTTCACTTTCAACGAGCGATGTATTAGTTGAAAATATAGATATAGAAAGAATAAAACATTATAAAAGTATACAAAAATTTTCTTCAATAAAAAGTCTATCGGATATTCCCGACTTAAATAACTTGGATACACCTGCAATTCTGATACTTTATCCTGAAAAATACACGTCCAACAATGGAACGAAAGAACTTGTAAAATCGCCTTATGAATTGCTACAAAGCGCCAGATCAATACCAGTAATATGTGTTTCAAAAACTAGCGAGTCTGACCAATCACGAGAAAGAATTCACGTTTGTCCATTTGAAAATTGCAATAAAACATACTTTAAAAACTCACACTTAAAAACGCACATTCGTACTCACACTGGTAAGTTTTGTTATAATTTAAAAAACAATCGCAAAAAAATGGCGCAAAACTACACGTAAAAAAGATACTATTTTATTTAAAAAACGCTTTTTTTGAAAAAGATAAAAATATTTCTATAAGCGTGGGAAATCATTTCTCTGATCTGTTTGTTTATTTTTTAATAATAATTATTTGTTTGCTTTGATATTGGTTTGAGTGGATATATAAAATTTTTTTCGAATTTTTAAAAAATAAATGATTTTGTATTTTTAGGTGAAAAACCATTTAAATGTACCTGGCAAAATTGTGATCGTACTTTTGCGAGGTCGGATGAGTTAGCACGTCACAAACGCTCTCATACTGGCGAAAGAAAATTTAAATGTACACTATGTTCTAGAATGTTTATGAGATCAGATCATTTGACAAAACATGTTAAACGTCACATGACAACAAAAAAAGTACCCGGTTGGCAAAAAGAGATAAATAAACTGAATGAAATGTCTTCAATCACATTTCAGTATCCAATGATTATATCCGAACAAACATTGGCTCGTAATCAAGCAAAAGTTTGATTAGCAAGTTTTTAAGCTATCATCTTTAGTACTTTATTATTATTCTTCCTTATTAGTTTATTTTTTTTTGAGTGTATATATCTTCAAATTTTAAAATATATTGTTGATTTTAAATTGTTTTTTAGTTTGATAAACTGCTAAAACTCTCTTTAATTAGACTTGTCTAAGCGTGTTATTTAAGATTAATTTTGTTAACAGTTGTAAAATAAGTAATCTAAATATTTAACTTATCTTTTATGTTTGAGAGATACACTTATATATATTTTTGTACGAGTGTGTTTAATTATGTGCGTGTTACTATAATTATAACTAACGACATTTTAAATTTTTTCACACTTCATTAAAGCTATTTCAAGTTTCGTGACGTCGCTGCCCTAAAACGCACGATAACTATCACGATAGTAAAATTAGAGAAACAAATTAATTTTTTTTTAAAATTATTTATTTGCTTAAATTAACATAATATAATATTATAAATTATAATCTTTTCAGAAAATAATCAAAATAGTATAAAATGCAATACCGCAAAGTAGGAGAAACATTAGACACCCACTTCCTTTAACTAAAATATTTTTTTAATTGTGTGTAATTCCAAAAAGCAAAAAAGTATATATATATACATATGCATGAAAAACAATTTAAATTAATAAGCAAACAAAAAAATATATGAATAGTAAAAAAAAAAAGGTTAAATAATCGTCTTATGTTTACAAATCTTGTATAATATTTGCGGAACTTCAACAATATTTTTTGCATCCGCTTAATTTTACGAAGCAGTATTTTTACAAATCGGCATTACCTAGACTATTTTCTTTCATATTTCATTATCAAGGAAAAGGAGATATAGACAATTTTTTTTTAGTTTTTGTCTTTCTACCCCTGCAATTAATAGTTGACACTAAAACCGCTTTAATATACTCCACAAATCTTTCTTCTGGATTTTAGAACAAATTGAACATACCGCGCTCGTTGGAATGTTGTAAATCCAATAGGAAATTATCTTAGCTGATCTTTTTTAGAACAAATCAATGCACTTTCCTTACATTTTACGCTTCATCATACGCAGTTGTGATTTGTATTATTTTATATAAAATAGTCTTTAATCCGAATATCCCGTTTTTAAACTTACTAATAATGTGTGTGAGCTTTTTTTTGTTTAAGCGTGTTTGCGCGCCAGTCTATTTTGTGTACTCGGATTTAAGAAATAAGCTTCCAAATGTTTAAATGTGGAATAAGGAGAAAAAACACGTGAATTGCTTAAAATAGTTTGATCAAGTAAAAATATAAAAAAAGTTAATGAAATAAAAAAAGTCAACTGTTGTTGTAGGTATTATTTTATTGAAAAGAATTGAAAAATTTTAGCAAATCTTTTAATATTATGCACAAATTAAAATATATTTCGCAAAACAGATAATTAAAATGCTTGCGAAAGACTCTTAAGCACTTTTGCTAATCACTAATGACGTCGTAAAGTTTTGATTTGTTTTCACTGATAACAAAACTTTGACATAAATTAAATACCGCTACATGAATTGTTTTCTAAAGCTGAATAAATTAAGTTAATTTTTATATAAAAAAAAGGTTTTTAGTCTTTGAGATTTAGCTAAAATTTTCAATGATTGATAAAACTATGTTTTACTGTAAGATTGCTTTAAGTTTCCATATTATAACCTCTAGTTTTTTATTTTACTAATTTTACTTTAATTTTACAACACTATTACATTAAAAAGAGCTTAAAAAAATATAAGAATCAATTAAAACCTTAAATTAGTCATTTTAGAAATTATAAAACTTGTTTTATCACAGGGCGATGTAAGTCACAGGAAATATACTACGTCATATTAAAGAAACTAGTTATGGTTTGTTGTCCTGGAAGAAGATTTAATTTCTTTGAAACGCTTGACAATTTTCTTGAATTCTTCCGCTTTAAAAATCTTGACGGTTCTTTTTTTAATTCACGAGTTTCGTTTAAAATGTTTTTTGATAGTTGATTACTAACTTCCTTCAACGGGCTTTTTAGACAGCGTATAATACAAACAAAAGGAGAGGGAGATTCTATTTCATCATACTTAGACAGCTTTTCTGAAAAACCCGTTTGCAACTCAACTAAAGGTCTTGCGCACGAATTTTCTTTGTTTTGCTACAAACAAATATCATAAATTTAAAACAATATAAAATCAGTAAACAAAGAACTGAATTATTAAATAAAAACAATTAAAATACCAAGTTAAAACTTATAATTTAAAAAAAAAAAAAAAGGGTCTCCTATATATCCTGATCTGCGCACTTGCAAATGATTTTTGAATGAAGCTTTATTTAGTCACTGATGAATGCATATCTGGCTATGATCATGATCGAAGAGCTTTCATTCTTTTCCTACTGACAGTGGTGTTTGTGGAAAATGGCTCAGAAAAATCAAAATAAAAAATTTTGTACCAACAAAAAACAGTTACGGTTGCTCTTTACACTTTATACTAACGGAATTTAAATATGCAAACTCTGATTCTAACAGAAGTTGCAAGCAAATCAGTTATTGAAATTTAGAAAGTAAGATACAAAAACCTAAAGTTGTACCGTTAATCTTTACGCCAAACTAACTTAAATACGATATTCCATCTTTACGCCAAACTAACTTAAATACGATAATATTGTAAATTTTTTAAGGAGTTTTTAGTTACTATTTATTACGTTTCAATACATATGAATTTTAATTTTTATAATTTAATATTATTTTTTGCATTCCTATAGTTCCATATAAAATTGTATAAATTAGCAGTTGTTAAACGGACAAGTTAACTCTGAGGATATTCGATTTATGATAAATATATAAATATATAAATATTATGATAAATATATAAACCTTGGAATCAATAAGTTAGTGTAGTGTCGCGGGTATTAGTAAATACGCTTGTAATTTTTTATATTTTATGCGTACTATTATCATACCATCATAATAATTATATCATTATTATTTAATAGTCATATAATTATAAACTATTTTTCATCGATGATAAAGGCTTAGCAGTAATTAACTCAAACTATTAACTATTAAAATAGGCTTAAATTGAAATAGCCGCAGCGAAGTGTACATACATCAGCTGAGAGTTAATGCTTGGCTAGGTACTCTTTTTTAACCAAAAAAATAAAGTTTCTAGATTCAAAACTGAAAATTCTGTTCCCTAACAAAATTATATACCCTCTTTCCCTCTGTAGCAAATCATCTCAAAATCATTAATTCTCCTATCGCCCTCCTATCGCCTAAAGTAATTTGTGAACGACCCCTTTACAATTTTTTTTTTAACTTTTACTGATTGGTTTTAGATAAAGGTGTTTTGTCATATAATAGAAAACTGTAAAAACTAAATTTATTCCAACCACTAATAAAAAAGGTGAGTCTATTCGCACGCACGTGTAAATAGACTATATCTTATTATAGTCTATTCGCACGTTTAAAAAAAAAATTTAAGTTAGATTTTTTTAATATGAAATCTCTCACAAACATCACTTTTGAAGGATATGCGCACAAAACAGTGCGCATATCCTTCCAAAGTCAGTTAACGTGCGAATAGACACTCTGTAATACAAAACCCTATAAAAAATAGCATTGACTATTGTGAATTGATGTGACAATCGTGATATTTATATATTTAATTTTTTTACGGGGAAAGTTGTTTTATTATTTCAATTATGTTCACTAAAGTGAAGTTTTAGGAACTCAGAAAAAAAAAAAAAACCTTCTAGTCCCTTAGGGTAATAGCGTAAAAAACAGTGCGCAGACAAGGTATATAGGCGAGTATGTAAATTACACAAGAAATGCAAAACATTAAACATTTTGAATAAAAAAATAGCGTGAAATATTATATAATGTTAATTATATATTTTTGGGCAAAACTTTTAACAAAAGATACTTTAATTATGAACATCGAAAACAATTTCGATGTTTTTTTATTAAAGTATAACGTCGAAATATATTTCTAAAATTTAAAAATAAATAATTCAAAACATAGTTTGGTCATGGAAATATAATCCCCGGTTCAAAAAATATATATAATAATATATTGACATATAATACGCCCATATATATTAAATTATATATTTAAAAAATGTATAAATGAACCTTAAAAAATGTGTATTATTACACTAGTAGTGATACTTAAACCAAAATTTTATAATTAAATAACTTTTTTTTAGTGTTTAGATAAATTTCAAGCATATACTAAATTCTGAAATTGTGTACATTCAGGAGTTTTAACCGGTGTTTTAACCTTTTAATTAAACCACACATATATGTGGATATGACTAGTAGATATTGTTTATTAACATGTTGTTATTTTATACACATTTACAATTTTTTAAGTAAAGATTTTAAATAGCGAAAAAAAAAAAAAAAAAAAAAATCATATTTTTACAGGATTCTAATTAGACACACTAATTAGACTTATTACTTAACAATACTTAACATAAAAATACATAAAATAAAAACTTAACAATACTTAACATAAAAGTGATTTGCGTCGCGTTTTAAAGAGTTCAACATCTCCGTTAACGTAGTTTTTAATGAACACAGGGGAATTTAATTAGTAACATCATAACGTATAAAATGAAACAAATAGTCACGCTCACGCAATTCACATTTTATCACGCACGAGTATTAAAAATTGTCGTTAATTATTACAAAATTTATAATTTTGCTTTTTTAATATCGTATCAATTTGATATGATATTAATTATCGTATTAATTTTATAGGTATTCAAAGAATATCATATCGATTTGATAGAAATTTGAAAAATATCGTATCGATTCGATAAGATTTGAAGAATATTGTATCGATTTGATAGAAATTTGAAGAATATCGTATCGGTTTGATTCAATATTAAGAAGAAAGAGAAAGTGTAAAATATTTCCTTACAATAACAATAAAAATTTGGCACAAATTTTGTTGCTTAACGATAGGAGCAAAATTAGAATTACGATAAAATTCATAAAGCAATAAACGCAGAAGAAGCAATAAATGCAGTCAGTATCAACCAATTCAAAAACAAATTGGATGAACATTTTATATATTAACTTTTATTATGTTTGTATGTTTGTGTGTTACAGTTGTTACAGTTACAAACTCTACGTAGTTTGGACTCATCACTCTTCAAGGGTACAACACTATTATATATTATTAAATACAACATTTGCGATCTCAGTTATATTGTTAGTTATAGTATATAGTCAGTTAATATTGTTAAATTATATTCTTCATTTTAACTGAGCCATTTTTTAATGCTCAGTTTTAAAACAAATTGTTTTTTTTACACCTTTGGAACACGTTCATGTATGTGATGATTTAGTATACAGGAGGTATCCAGTCTTGATTTAATGCTGGTGTTGGAGGTGGCGTAACTATAAACACTCAGCTGCCGAAGGAGGGAGACAGAAAAAAAGGAGGCCTAAGGCCGACTGAATAAAGAAATCAATTGCTTTTACTCAGCTTTACGTGAATAAAAATTTGAGCAAAATCACTCAAATTTTTATTCACGTAAAGCTGATCTCCGCCTAATTCATTAAAAATCTCCTCACGTTCGCTCTCCATTTTAATCGTTATCTTTTGATGTATCACTGATGTACGTAACTTTAAATTTGTTATGCAATTTAAAGTTGTACAAAAAATTGTTTCTAAATTCAATCTAGATCTAGAAAACATATGTTAATGTTACGTTAGCTTTATTGCGTAAAGAATTCAAATAATTTCTCAGATTCAAATATCTTGAGATCGATCGAATCAAAACTAATTTGGTTTTGTCAAGAATCGTTTGTATGCTTAAATGTTTAATTAATAATGTTCTGTGTTGTGATGAATTAAACAGCATTAAACGGTTGCAGATAATCTTAAAAACAACGCCTGTAACTGTAACAAGTAAAATGATGTTTTCTTAAATTGAAATTAAAACTTATTTACTATCTACCATGAGGCTAGAGAGACTTCTATTTTAAAAACTCAATGTAGATTTAATAAAAGATTTAGCTAACTAAAACAACAACAAGAACTAAAGATTAACTTGCAATACTTATATTACATAAATAAAAATATATTATGTAATTTAAATATTAACTATACTACACATATTTAATTTTCGAACAAATATTTGAATTTATCTAGTTTTTTCGCTAATAAAAAATTAGTTAAAAGTTAAATAAATTTAATTAAAAAAATAGTAAAAAATAAAAATAAATTTTTTTTGGAGTTGTTTGAAAAGATCTATCGTTTCAACAAAATGTTTTTATCGTTGATGCCTAACTTCTGTTGATGGTTGACCCAAATACCATTCACTTTTACGATTCTCTAAAGAACACAGCATAGACATGAAGCCATTGAAATAGGCTTTTTTAATTTGTTGGACCATTAAAATTTAGTTAGCGATACCACGTAAAATATTGTCAAGAAAACATGCTTTTTTTGCATTCGAGTTTTAATAGTGACCTCTTATTAATCTTATAACGCCGGTCCTGGCCCATCAAGAATCTTCAGTATCACTTGGCCCAATCTACCCCTGCAACGGGTTAAGTTAAACAGCTGCTTGGAGTAAGTTAAGAAATAAACAAACTAATACTTATGTATAAAATTTGAAATTAATGTTAAGCGTGTCATTACTAAAAAAAAAACTTTTAATGACGTAAGTAAGGTTTAATTGAGATTATTTTAAAATAAAGAAAAAAACTGTTTTTATACATTGCGACCATTTTCTATAGACGCATGTAGAATTTAACGGATTTACATTGTTACCTTTGTAATAAAATTGTTCTAACGGTACTTTCGAATAAGTATATGTAAGAAAACAATGATCCATTATGCATCTGATTATTGTCTTGATTGTATTAAAATAATTAAATTTTTAATATTCACGTGGCAATTTTCTATAGACGCACTAGAGTTTTTACTAGTTTTTTCGCAAATTTCTTATATTCTGTAGTACTTTTTATTTTATGAATCGAAATTAATTTGAACTTAATCAAATGCCGAAAGGAAAGGTCCTTACCGATATTGAAAAAGGTCAAATATTGGCTTTTCATCAAGAAAAAGTTCCAAATCGAGAAATTGCTAGAAGATTGAAGAGATCAGATCACGTTATTCGTAATTTCTTGAAAAATCTAACAGATTATGCAACAATTAAAAGGAAACCAAGGTTTCAGACCGTAAAAACGCAGAATTGTTTAACTTGCATCAAATTTATCAAAAAATTTCAAAACAATTAAGTCAGATTTGGGTTTAAATATTTGCAAGGAGACGATTAGGAAAGTTCTTAAAGACAGCCACAAGACGTACACATTGTACGATCAAAATTGAATAAAGCACCAAATTTGAAGCTCGTTCACAAACAGAAAGGGATGGAATTCGCCCGCGAAAACATGGCACGCGATTGGGAACAAGTAAGAAATTTTAGATTAGATTCTCATGAATACGTAAAATGTCTAAATAGCTGAATTGAATATTTTTGTTTTCAATACCAGGTGATTTTTTCGGACGAGAAAACGTTTAGTCTTGGGCCTGATGGTTTTAGTGGCTACTGGCGCGATTTGAGGAGAGAACTCAAATATTTTTTAACAAGGAATTTCGGTGGTGGATCTATGATGGTTTGGCTTGGGTTTTGTGCAACAGGAAAGTTAAATTTAGCATTTACATCTTGCAAAATGAAAAGTTCTGAATACATTGATGAGCTAAAATCATGTTTGATTCCATTTAAAAACAAATATCGACCCAAAAAGTTTGTTTTTCAACAAGACAACGCTAGCACTCACACTAGTAACGAGACTAAAGTTTGGTTTGAAGCTAAAAGAATCGAGCAAATACGGAGGCCTGCTCGCAGTCCAGATTTGAATCTTGTTGAATAAAAATACTGGTAATAAGGTTACTGGTTTGTAAAATTCTTATTGCAAGAATTATATCACGATTTTAAAAGAATTAGTCTCACAGAAATCATGCTAAAAAGTAGTGAAAATTTTTTTTATTATAAACTAAGTAATCGAATATCAGATCAAATCATGTTGGTGGTGATGTAACAATATTTATCCACAAGTCTATTAACTTTATTTTAGGTAATGACCTCAATATTATTAAAACAATATGTTTTAATAATATTGAGGTTATTATTATAAAACAGAATCATTAAACATTTATAGAAAACCAACAGTTAATTAAAAAAAAAATATATTTTTCGGATAGCAAGAGACTTATAGGGAATCCATAAAGTATGTGCGCAGTAAAACCACTGATTTAGGATCCCATCCCCTTTGAACACATCTGTGTACTTTCAATAACTTTCCCCCCCCTCTATGTTCGTACTCATATTATTACAAAATACGTAATCTCTCTCCCCTCCTTCCCCAACCTAAATTTACTTACTCATGACTCTATTCTCTTTCTCTACCAATCTCTTATTTGTACCTGTATTGAATACTATTGTCATATTTGGGCTGGTTTTTATAATGAATACTTTCTCTCTTTTAGACATATCAAGCTTGAGCATCTCTGCCTTCGTTATAAAATTACATCTCTTTCTCTTTTCTACAAATATTATAATGGTCGCTGCTTAAAAGAGCTATTTTCTCTAGTTCCATCAACCAAACTTTATTTAAACTAAAATTCTTGACTCGTCATTCAGCAAACATTTGCTGTATCTGTCGCTAAATGATCTAAAAAGTTTTATTTGTGTAGTTTTATTTGTGTAGTTTTTTCCTTGCACTTAAACCCTTTGGAACTTTCCCCCATCTTTATGTTTTTCTGACTCATATAACCTACAACTTTTCAAGTTTTCTGTCAACTGTTTCCTTGCTCTTTAACTCTATTCTTTATTTCTAGTAACTCTTAACTTAATAGTGGTTGCTTACAGCCTTGTGTTTTATCATAATTTCAATAGGGATTATATGTTTTATTCCTTGGTTGTTTTATACCCTGATATATGTTTTATACCTTGGTGAGAAATAAACCAAAAGCTCATTTTCGACAAATGTTTTTTAAGGCCGACTTTTACTGAATTTTTTTTTTTAGTTTTGAGATATATACTTTTTGTTGATGACAAGAAAATATTTATAAACAGGGGAAGAAGAGGGGGGGGGGGGGTTAAAGCTTAGGGTGGGTGGGAATATTTTCTAAAAATAATAAACGACCCCCCCCTGATTGAGGACTCAAGAGTATGCAAAGAAATTTCTTTTTTTCAATAAATTTTTTATTATCATTCATTGATAAAATAATAAAAAACTATGAATAAATTTTTCTAACAATCATATTTTTTTAATTAATTTTAGTAATCATTTTATTTAATTTGAATCAATTTCAATACATTAGTAACGTAAAAAATATAAAGTTAAACTCAGTTGTTAATAATAAAATAAGCTTCAATACTTTTGTATTGCAAGTATAAAAAATATAAAACTTTTAAAACTTTTATATTAACAAAGAAAGACAAAATTTAAAAGTGAAATTCTTTTTGATTTTGTTTTGAAAACTTATTAAAATAAAAAATAAACTTAAAAAGAAATTGCATTATTTACCTTGCTCAGCTTGATTTTTTTAGGAGTTTCTTCATTAACCTCAGGAGTTCTAAATCATAATTTAAAATCCTCATCATCATCATCCTCATCATCATTCTCATCATCATCATCATCATCATCATCATCATCATCATCATCATCATCATCATCATCATCATCATCATCATCATCATCATCATCATCATCATCATCATCATCATCATCATCATCATCATCATCATCATCATCATCATCATCATCATCATCATCATCATCATCATCATCATTATGAAAACATGTGATAGATAATCGTTGATCACACATTACATTACAAACATTGACAAATAATGAAAGTCTTTATGAAAGTTTAAATACTTAGTTTTGATATGCAAAACATACTTACACCAAAAAAAGCACCCTTTGCAATTACTTTTAAGTCGAGATTTTATTTTTCTCTTAATTTAACTTTTGAAAAAGGTTTTGTTTTTTAATGCACTTCTGCAAGTAATTTGTTTTAACATATGAATAACTTCAACTTCAAAAGATTAATTAGATATTATTTACTTCTATAACAAGAGACATTTTGAACAATTGAATAAATTTTCAATTTCTAACTTACCTAAATTTAGTAGAAAAAGTTGTCAACTTAACATACACTGCTGAGTTTGGTACAGGTGTTGATAGAATTCCACAGAGAGAAGATGTTGCATTAATGTTATTGCCATATTTACAGCTCATATAATCTAGAAAATCACGCAACAATAGTATTTTCTAAAGAAAAAATGACAACTTATACATAATAAAAATGTATAAAATTTAAATTTTCCCCTAGCAATAATTTCAACAACATTTTAAGTGCTATTTAAATATTTAGTTGTTTTTATTATATATAAATGTAATTTATAGTCAATCAACAAATATAGTATTTTTCTTTTCTACTTTTCTCTATAAACTTATTGCTAAAAATAAAGTTTTAAGAGAAACTTAAATTTTTAAAAAAAGAGCAAATATTTAGAACATCTCATCAAGAGCTTTCAGCTTTAATAACACTAGTTTTGAACTAAACCGTGAAGTTAAAAAAGATTTGGCTAAAACAAGATTTTCAAAAAGTAAGCAGTTAACTAAAAAGCATAAATAGTAAAAAATAAAAGATGAACCCTTGTGCAAAACAAGGAAAAAAATTATCCAACAAAAGTTTAAAGACCAAAAAGAAGAAACATTTAGATGTGTTAATTAACAACAAAACAACATGATTGCCATCCAAAATAAAATAACATAACCAGCATCCGAAACAAAAAAAACAGCATCCGAAACAAAATAACATAACATCCGAAACAATTCTATTCTTATTCAGCTAGTTATTAAAATAAATTTTGTTTTTTGAAAAGTAAATAAAATAATTTATTTGTTTACAATTAAAAATACAATTTTTTTTAAAGCCAAAAAATACATTTTTATGATATAAATTATATAAAGTGAGATTTTTAGAATTAGGATTAAAGTAAAAATGAAACAATAATTATTATGTTCTATCATCTGTAACATAACTATAGATCATTCAGGTCATATTTTGAAAATCCGGAAAATTGTTAGTGTAAAATATCTGGAAAAAATCCGGAATATATTTTCCTCTTAAATTTGCTTTTAGCTGAGTTGTTTTAAATTTTTTTCCAAACTTTTTATTATTTTTGTAAGAATGATGAGTGAAAAAGCTTAAAAAACAAATATATTACAAAAATATATACCTAAACTTGTATGTATGAAAAACGTTTTAAATATCCGCAAAAACTAAAATTTAAGAAAAATATTCGGAAATCCGGAAAAAGATAATCCCTGCATAACTATAATGCTCTATCATCTGTAACATAACTATATGTAACATAACTATTATGTTCTATCATCAGTAACATAACTATATGTAACATAATTATTATGTTCTATCATCTGTAACATAACTATTATGTTCTATTGTCTGTAAAAGTTAATTAAAATATATTGAAAACTTTTCTGGTTGATAAATCAACTATGGCTATTGTATTAAATTATTCACCCTTAACAGGGGCTAATCTAGAAAAAAAAGTTTGAGCTGCGGTATTTTTTCAAAAAGAAAACAATATTTGCCATAAAAAAAAAAAAGAAAAAAAGTTTATCAATTAGTGAAATAAAATTAAACCAACTAATCTTGTCACTCAAACATATTCAATGCTGTTGAAAAGGGACTAGAATAGCCCCTGCTTAATATAACAAAAAGTATAACATGTGTGATTATTAATTTATTAATGTGTGACTATTAATTTATAAATGGTAATATATAATTTTAACTAAGTATAAAAAATGTATAAACCTAGTATTATGAGTAAACATAAAAGCATTACATAATATTATGTAATCAATAACATAACAATAATAATAAGTCTATAAGTATAAAGGGTTAGATAGAGTCAAAAAAGAATAGTATTTTCAGAATTTAGTTAAGTTGATAAAATTTATATGAATTTATTTAACTAATAAAACTGTTACAAGAATTCCAGTAGCCAGGTTTAAAAAAGGTCGTCTAATTTTTAATTAAATTGTTTATTCAGGCTTATAGCAGAACTTTGTTTTCATGGTAGACAACCTTTTATGCAAAAGAGTACAGCAAAAAATTGTTTTTTTTCTTTTTTACAAATTATGTTGTAACTTTAATTTAGTTTTGTAATAACTGTGAAGGAATTAAAAACAACAGGCAGTAATTATGTAAACAAAAATGTTATTATATTATGAAACATTTTCATAAAGTTTTACATCAATAATTTCAACTTACAACTTAATTGTACGAAAAAACATTAACAAATTTATTTTGTGATGATGTGAAAGATAATTTTTTTTTGATAAACAAGTAAATGAAGTTTTGTACAAGCCTTGCTCATGGATGATCAAGAGAAAGCTTATTTTTATATGCTAATTTGGTTGACATAAAGAGCTTCATTATAGCTTGGTAAAAAAAAAAAAAAAATACTAACTTATTTTTACAAAATTTATTTTAGATTATTTTCATAATTAAGAGTTCCTTATGTCAGTTAGTAATTCAGTACCTTTAATTCATTCGTTCTATTCTTTTTAGCCAATCAACTGTTTTTAAGTGAGTTTTCAGGTATCCATGTCAACCAAAATTATTTTGTTCAAGTTTATTTTGTTATTTTTGCTTTTTTAATTACTATGAAGTGTTTTTTTAAATAACAGTTTAAACATGACATAAAAGATATATATTGTTTTGTCAATAACAACAATAAAAATGCTTACATCAGAATCAGTTGATTGATTGATTCCAAATTCATTAAAATCCATTAAGATGTTGTTTAATGTTTGTGATACAAGAGATGAAGAAAACACAGGTGTTTTGCATTTAATAAATGTATTTTTTAATATCTTTAGTATTTGCTTAATACCATCTCTATAAACAAGAAAAACCTTTACAAAAAATAAAATAATAATAAAAAAAATACAAACCTTTAAAAGTTTCAAAAACAAAATTTTATATACTGAAATGCCAGTAGAAAAAGAATTCCTTTGAATTTAAGGAATTTTTTAAGTTTTGAGAATGATGTCCTTTTGTATATTTATTTGTTAACAAATGTCTAAGACTGAATTAAATTTAAAACAATCAGCAAGTGCTCCATTTTATGAAGTATTAACTTCTTCATAAAAATGTTAAACAGTTAAAATAGACTATTTTGAAAGCTATTTTATTTAGCAAATATTGCTTTGCAAAAATGTTCTTATGTTAAAATAAAAACACAAACTGTTGCACACAATGTTTTAAAAGTATACTTAAAAAATATATTTTTTGTATTAAATTAATTACCTGCTTTAAACTATTTATACATTGAAAGATTATTATAGTCTTAGTTTATTTATTTTTTAATTTATATTCCTTCATACCAACAATAAAACATGTCTTTTTAAAATGTTTAATATTTATAATGTTATAAACTGAAATGAACAGCAATAAATAACATTGCGAAATTGTTTTTAATATTGACAAAACAACTTTGCAGTACCGTTTTATTTTTGTTTTATACAGTTTTATACATAAACAATTTAATATGCTTTTAAAATAAAAACATTTTTATTGTCAGTTTAAATGGGGTAATATATATTATTACATTATTAAACAATTTATTATAATATATTATTAAAATTTCTTTCAGCATTTATTAGTATATTTGGTAATGTTTAAAAAAAATTAATGCTTAAAAAATTTAAATAAAGGTTACAACTAAAAAAAAATGTACTTAAACTGTATTGAATCATCTAATGCTGTTTGTAATTCATCTACCAGCTGAATGAAATTTACCAATCCCTAAAAAAGGAGAAAAAAAAGTTAAAAAAACAACAATCTTATGTATCAAGTCAAAAAAGGAGAAAAAAAAAACAGTTAAAAATAACCAAAAAGACCTTGAGGTTAAAAATAACAAATAAAAATTTGAATATTTTATCTTATAAACAAGAAAGCAAGTCAAATAAATAATATATTACGATTACTGAACTTTAGAAAAATCATGGAAATTTTTTTACTACAAAAAAAGCAAGCGGGAGTGAAAATAAATGTGTAAGTTGAAAGCAAAATGATATATACTAATAGAAACATTTACAGAAAAAAAAGCGAAAAAATAAAAAGTTTGTGTTAAAGTGCATGCATATATAGGGCCGGCCATGTATATCCATGCCTAATGTCATTTTTCTTTTACTTTTGTTTAAAATGAATATAAATTTTACTAAACATCAACTTTATTTAGTTATTAAGGACAGAATTTTTATTGATAGATATGAACTACTTCAAAATTTACTTATTAAAATTTTACAACCCCCCCCCCTCCTTATCCTGATTATATTTGACCCTATTTTAAAGATTTTTAGTCTTCGTTCTTTATCAACCTTTTTTTATATCATAGAACAAATTTTCAATAATTTTGAATAAAAATTTTTCAAAAAATTAATTTTGGCCTAATTTTAAGTTATTCCTGATCACTGTGCAATGAAATAATTTTTGAAACTATTTTTCATATTTATGCAAAAATACTTAAGTTTTCTTATAATGAACTCAAAAAAGAAGGGTCATTAAACATGACAAAAGTATATTAAAATAAAAGATAAAAAGAACTTACAGAAAAGACCAGCATACCAGACTTTATCAAAAAAAATTTATATGTCAAGAGCCCTTATTTTGCTGCATTCATCTAACACACAATAAAACCTTTCTATAACAGTTCAAAAAATCAAAAGTTTTCAAGAGAATCAAAATTTGTATTGATTGTCAAAAAGAAAGTTTTTAAACTCAAAATTAGAGCAGGCTTGGGACAGGTACAGCTCCTTTTTCATAGTGAAGGCAACGCAATTAGAAGGAAAACTCTAAAATAAAACCCTAATTCCTTTTTGGGTGAAGGTAGGAGCTTGCAAACCTTGGATGGTAACCTCTTTAATGATAAGATTAAATACATAATAAGTTAATTCAACACACCCTTTCGTCATACATAGATTATCCTGGTCATAAAAATATTCAAAAAATTTTTTCCTAATAATATTTGCAAAAAATCCGGAAAAATATTTTTAAGGCATATCCGGAAAAATCTGGGAATAAAAACACTTTATGTGTATTTAAGAATATCTCACATTTTTGAATAGAAAATTTAAGGCAGACATTCTTCTTTATAAAAGTAAAGTATTTTAATGCTTACTTGAATAGAGTTTATAAATTTAATTAAACAAGATTTTTAGATAAAATAGTCAAAACAATTTAAGTGCTGAGTGTTTACATCTTAAATAATCCTTAGAAAATAAGTTTCATATTATTTAAATGTTCCAAAGTATTTATCAAAACATAAGCAAAAAACTTTTTAATAAATAACTTTTAACCCAATTTTTTTTCTTGAAAGTAAGTTTTGATTTTAACAACATTTTCACAACAATTTAAGTGCTGCGTGTTTACATCTTAAATAATCCTAAAAAGTATGTTTCATATTGTTTAAATGTTCCAAAACAAAGTATTTATCAAAACATTAGCAAAAAACTATTATTTCTACTATACTTTTTAATAAATAACTATTATTTCTATTATACTTTTTTATTTATAGTACAATTTATTATACAAAAAACTATTATTTCTATTATACTTTTTAATAAATAATTTTTAACCCAATTTTTTTTCTTGAGAGTAAGTTTTGATTTTAACAACATTTTTTTTCTCGAAAGTAAGTTCTGCAGTGTTTATTTAAAAAAAAAACTTTGACTTGAGCTATAAATGTTGTTTAGATTTTCCCTTTTGCAATTAATTTTTTTTGTAGATCAATTCTTTTATAAATAACTTAATTTATATTTTATATTATATTAATAAATTTATATTTTATAGCAAAAAATAACTTATTACCACTTAACAAAGGTTTTCAAGTTAATATTGATTTATAACTATTTTAAATATTTAATAAAAGAAAAGTATTTTCTTTTAGAGTTTCCTTAGTTTGGAGGATAATGTAGACTGTCATAGAATGACAATCGGTAACCTATCACTTATGTATATACATCATCTATATTTTTTCTTTGCAGGTTTTTATAAATAAATTTATATTTTATATATATTTATAAAATGTATAATAACCGAATAAAAATAACAATCTCAATAAGTAAACGCTTTAAAAGTCTTATATATTTTTGATTTATTTTAAAAACAATATTATTATTAGCGCTATATATAAAATTTATGTAAATTTGAAAATTGATGAGTTTTGGTGATAAAATCCTTAAATCAAAATAACAATTTTTATTTTTTTATAAGGATTTAGTAAGAAAATAGTGCAAACAAATTTGATTTTATGGTAAATGAAAACAAAATATTTTAATGAAAAAAAAAAAATGATTTTATCACCAAAACTTGTATCATAATTTTCAAATTTACATAAATTTTATAAATAGCGCTAATAATAATTTTGTTTTTAAAATAAATCAAAAATATATAAGACTTTTAAAGCGTTTACTTATTGAGATTGTCAGGTCGACTGAAAATAACAAGTTCGCTAATGTTGGTCGTCCACCAACATATTTGTTTTTTGCCTGTTGCTATTTTGGCATTAGCAAAATTAGCAACAAGCAACTCAAAATTTATTTATTTTAATTTTAACGTATTTAATGTAGTATTTTTAATAAAGATTATAAACAATTTAGTTACCAATAAGACATTGGGAAACATAACTTTTGTTCATAAATGTATTATGTCAAAAGAACATTAAATAATATTGAATCCGGGTGAATAAAAAAATCTCAGTGAATAAAAAAAAGCAATTGCTTCTACCTAGCATTTTTGGAGTAACTGCTCAGCTTTACATGAATAAAAATTTGAGCAATTTTGCGCAAATTTGTATTCACATAAAGCTGAGCAATTACTCCAAAAACGCTATTGCTTTTTTTATTCACCTCGCCTATAATAAGAAACAAAAAATTATAAATACTTCTGTGAAAAGAATTCTCTTAAACAAAAACTCTTCTTCATTTTTATATGAAAAAAAAAGTTTTTACTTTCCTTTCGGTTATTTCAATCTATAATAACCTATGATGGAGAGGCATGATTTATGCAATGTATTAGTTAGCAGATGATAAGAAGTAAATTTCTTTAATTTTTTATTATGCTAAAACTATTTAGCATAATAAAAAATTAGACAGGCAAAACTATTTTAAAACTAAAATTTACATTCAAGTTTTTACTATTTTACATTCCTTCAAAACTAAAAATTTTTAAAATCATATTTAATTTAAAGTTTTTTAATAAAAATTTTTTTTTATAAAATAATTTGTTTCTTCAAAAAATTTACAGTAACGGTTAAATGCTTTTTTTAAATACCTAATATTTTCTGAATAAACATAAACCATGTTAAAAGATAATTTTTATATTTTAAAATGAAAAAGTTTTCACTTAACATACTTTTAAACTATTGTACTTACATACTTACTTTAAGTACTTATGTTGCTTCTTAACAAGACCTGTCAAGGTATTTTTTTTAAATTTAGTTCTATTACTTTATTTCTAAATCTTTTATTAAAATTTGTAAAAAAATAAAAATAAAATGGTATTTTTGTTAAAAAGATAAAGCTTTTTAGTTTTTGTTGAGGAAGTATTTTTTTAATAAATGCGGTAAATAAACTTTGGCACTATGACTTTCAAAATATAGTTTTATTATTAATTTACATTTTACTTTTCTTTTTATAGAATTCTTGAATTAAGAAAACTAGAAATGCAGATAAAAATTATTAGTCGTACTTTCAGGCAACTTTTTTAGTCGTACTTTCAGGAAAGTTTTTAGTTGCCCTTCTCAAAATTTGGTTGCCTGGTGTACACCTCGACCATGATTGTACACTTCTGATAGACCAAGAAAAAAATAAAATATTTGCTTAAACATAGTACATTTGATAAAAACTACCTAATCACAGCTAAGCTAAATAGGTTTCACTTACCTCCCTACAGGCCAGGCCTCGCTTACCCCCTTGCATTCTTAATAAATAGGCCTAACCAAGGCATAATAAAAAATTTCAGGTTATTTAGGATAAATTATGACAACTTTGGACATTTTAGGAAAAATTTTAAAAAAATCAGGAATTTAAGCAGTTACAGGACATTTGGGAGACCTGCATTTTGCTTTTAAATATATATCATAATCTAATTTTTAAGCATAAATGTGGATATTTTAAAATATTAAAAATAATAAAAAAAAAAACAACCTCTTTATGTTTAAAAAGAATATGTTGATTATCAGGATGATAGCCTTTACCACCTAACAAAATTTGACGTGAAAATGAACACACAACCTAAAAAAAAAGATACAAAAAAAAAAAAAATTTAACATATATAAAAAATTTCATTATTTTGATAATTTAAAATTTAAATTTTTATATTCTTTTGAAGGCTTTTTGTAGATCAATACCTTATTTAATCTAAATGAACACATACAAGCATACATTTGCGGACATCATACATAAACCCATACCTGATACATTGACATTGATTTTTTTGTAGCATGCTTTCGAATTTCTGTAAATGCGGCATGGTCAATTCCTCGAGATGGAAGATCAATAACACGTGCAAGTGCAATTTCATCTCGAGAATTTACTAATAACTGCAGATAACCAATAACCACTCTACGAAATTGCACCTATGAATAATAAAAAATCACTAATTATTTGACCAAGTAATAATTATTTGACAAAGTAAAGTTTGCCCAAAACATTTCATTAATTCATTTATTTTGTGTGGCATTATAAAAATTAATGAATATTTAAGTTTTTGAGCGGTGTTAAAAGACAATATTTTTACTCATTTGAGAACTAAAGTTGTTTTAAGTAATTATGTTATGTAATTTATTCAGGTTTGTAAACTTGAATAACTAACATAAATTAAAAATGTTTAAACAAAAAGCAACGTTTTCTCTTATTATTATATTTGAAAGGCATGTTTTTATCTACAACAATATTTTTTATTAATTTAGTATTTAGTGGCAACTTTCAAAATTTTTATGAATCTTTTCTCAAATTTGTACTATATATTATAAAAACAAATACTTAAAGTTGTATTTTGGAAAATATTTTGGGCTACAGTAAAAACTAAAAGTTGAAAGAAAAAAACAGATTTCTGAATATCTTCGGAAAAAGATAATCCCTGCATCAAGCCTTCTCAGAAAAGGCATGCAGTTGCACACCTTATATGACCATGTACACATTATTTTGCTTTAACAACCTATGCGCTATAACAACCTGGTGATCAATGCTCAGAATTAGGAAAAATGAGGTTGGTAAATTATTGAAAAAAAAGATTGAGGTCGGCATCAGGTCGGCAAAATTATTTGATACAAAGGTCTGACCACAAAATATAGAAACAAGGTCGGCAATTTTTTGCGGACCTTGAACACTTTCAGGTTGGCAGTTAGGTCAGCATTGCCGAATGCCAACCCTAATTACGAGGGTTGCTGGTAATATAGGAAAAATTATTAGCTTTAAACAACAAATTGAACGCTTTTGAATTAATTAAGTTTGAACTATCGCACTATGCGTCGCGAAGCGGAAATAGGATTTTACTTATTTTTCTGAAAAAATTCAATTTTATTATTTCAAATATTTTTTAACCAAAACAAGTTAGCTTATTAGTTGATAAAAAAGTATTATTTCAAATTTATTTAAATTTGCTTTTTCAAGTGCTGGATTTTCAGGGGTAAAAAAACCCGGGTTTTCACTAAATCTTTATATTTCATACAATAATTTACGAATATCCTCAATTTTTTTGCATATTATCAAATGATACATTTTGTAAACTAAAAACCAAGAAAAGGAAAAAAAAAAAATGTTTGGATCATTGTTTTTGTGTGTCCCTAAAGATTGATTGTTTAGACCATGTTCCTACAGAGGTAACCAGTTTTTTATTTATTATAAATTTTCTACAATAAATAGACTTTTTAGAAGTGAAATAATATTCTGGCTACCTCTGTAGTAACATGGTATAATATCAATTCATTGTAGTGGGTTTTATTAAAAACCAGTTAGTTAATAAGTATAAAAAACAACATTAGACGCAAAGCAGTATGTTCCTAGTCTTTCAGTTATAACTTTTAAATAAAGCTTGGTTTAATGTTTTAAAATGGTTACTTTTAATGTCAGCAAACTTTTGTTTAATAACTTTCCTCAAAGGCATAATTTTACAAGACATATTTTCACAAGTGAAAATATGTCTTGTAAAATATATATATATATATATATATATATATATATATATATATATATATATATATATATATATATATATATATATATATTCATATATATATACATATATATATATACACATATATATATATATATATATATATATATATATATATATATATATATATATATATATGTATATATATATATATATATTCATATATATATACATATATATATATATATATATATATATATATATATATATATATATATATATATATATATATATATATATATATATATATATATATATATATATATATATATATATATTCATATATATACATATATATACATATATATATATATATATATATATATATATATATATATATAATATATATATATATATATATATATATATATATATATATATATATATATATATATATATATGTTCATATATATATACATATATATATGAATATATATATATATATATATATATATACATATATATATATATATATATATATATATATATATATATATATATATATATATATATATATATATATATATATATATATATGAATATATATATATGAATATATATATATATATATATATATATATATATATATATATACATATATATATATATATATATATATATATATATATATATATATATATATATATATATATATATATATATATATATATATATATATATATATATATATATATATATATATTTCACAAGACATATTTTCACTTGTGAAAATATGTCTTGTAAAATTATGCCTTTGAGGCATAATTTTACAAGACATATTTTCACAAGTGAAAATATGTCTTGTAAAAAATATATATATATATATATATATATATATATTCATATATATATACATATATATATATATATATATATATATATATATATATATATATATATATATATATATATATATATATATATATATATATATATATATATATATATTCATATATATATACATATATACATATATATATATATATTATATATATATATATATATATATATATATATATATATATATATATATATATATATATATATATATTTATACATATATATTTATACATATATATATAAATATCCATCAAAAACTAAAACATCTATCACAATGTTGTACTTTTTCATATAGTTAACACCATATATACGAGGAGCCTATCTGCAAAATGTGCTAAAAGTAAAAATTTTGAGTTAATTCTATTTCTACATTCTATATACTAAAATCTATCATCTATTTAAATACTAGACCAATTAAAAAATTTTTAGTTTTAAAAATGGACAAAAAAATACCAATTTTTGTTAATACACAACTAAGAGTAGTTTAGTTTTTCAGTCATTTCTCAAAATCAGTTTACTCGGGCTTAGCGTGTATTGCAAATGGGCTCCTCATATATTAATATAGATCTATTTTGTAAATAATTTACATTTTATATATTATTCATTTATTGTGACAAAATGAACAAAGTTTGGTTGCCCCCTTCAAATGGGTTTTTAAAATGGTCCGAGGGACACAGATGTCTGGCACCTTTTTAGACTGACTATTTAGGTAGAAGATGCAAGTAACCACTAAATTGACTAAAAGTTTAGGTTAGCGAGTTTAGGTTAGCAAGTTTGGGTTAGCACCACAATAAAAATCTTTTATTATTCATAATAAAAGAATAATAAATTTTTCTAAAAAAAAAAAGATTTATATACTACTAGTTTATATATTAATTTTTATCATATTTAACATATATAGTAATTAACTAATCTAGAAAGATGTATCTAAAGATGTAACTAAAATGTTATACTTATAAGCTGTTCTGCGTTGAATTTTTAAAATTACTGCTATATTCACAGCCACAAGTTATTAAAAACACCTATTAGAACGTTTAGAAACTTTATAAGAAACCAAAGAACAAAGAATCAGATGACAGCAGATTTTTTTATGATATTAATAAGTATTTAATTATATTTAATGATATTGATTAAAAATTTCTAAAAAAAGTTTGTAAAATTCTATAAAATATTGGAGCCTACTGTTTTTTGAATAAAAATATCCGGACATATGTATTTTTCCGGATTAGTCAGAAATTAGTCCGCATGAACTGAAAAAAACACAGTAAATTGTTTTTTAATAAAAGTCTCATATTTTTCTTTTAAATATAGAGATATAAACAAAAATTCGATGTTTTGTGAAAAAATCAGCTCAATATGTTGAATGCTTCCTTATTTATAAGCCTAATTCCTAATTTTGTATAAGAGCGACGCATAGTGTATTGATTGAGACGCGTTCAAATTTAAAAATATATTAGTTTTATGCTTCTATTTTCTTTGGTTTATCCTTTATTTTATCATTTGTTAAGTTAGCATTTTTTAAAACACACAAATTATCAATATATGAAAAAAACCAATACCAAATTGTCAAAAAAAAAAAAAATTGTATGCATTTTTCTGGAGCTTTCCTGGCTTGCTGCATACAACTTGTAGGTTTTTAAGTTTTTTGCTTTCTATTAACTCCCAATTTAAATAGTGGTTATGAGTGAAGTTTTTTTTATGAGAATTCATAAAAAAAACTTTTCTTACTGGTTACTTAAAAAAATTAATTTTTAATTTAAAATGAAAAAATCAAATTTGTGCTTATAATATAATGTGAAATATAACAAAGTATAACTATATTATATAATTAAATGTAAGAAATAAATCTAAATAATTTTATGTAAAAATTTTCATTTTAATATAAAGTAATATTTTAAAAATAAGTATGATATTTTTCCCACTAGCGAGGGAGAAAGTGACTGCAACTGATGGTAAGCAATATTCAGTCTCCTAAGACAAATTCAATATTTAGTCTGAGCTAACATTATTAAAAACAAATTTTAAACAAATTATAAATAGAAAATTAGCAATTTATTTTAGAATAAAATTGTAATTATCAAAAATTTTGAATCAAATGCAGGCTTTATTGAACAAGAAAATTTTTTTGTAACATTTGCATATTTGAATAAATATGTCTAGAATTATTGTAATAAAATACATTAAAAATTGCAACTTACAATATCAGTGTTTAAAGCTTTAGGAACTGGTGACAAAACATCTATATAAAAATTTAAAATGTAAAATGAGTTCAATGATTACTATTAATGATGATTAACAAAATTTAAAAAATCAGAACTTTACCTCTATCTTTTTTATCACCACCACTTGGCTGCTCCTAAAAACATTTTTTCTATTAAGTAAAAAATCTAATTTTTTAGAAATCTTGTTAATTCAACTATTTTTATGACCAAACTGTTTATTCAAATACTCAAAAACTTCAAAAATTTGAAGTTTAAAAAACATTCAAAATGTTATACATACACACAGAAGTATTATTTCTCCTTCTGTTTTGTTTATATATAAAAAGTAACTCAAATGATACTAGGCTCCTTCAGTACTACACTTTTAATCTAGCACAAAATGATATACAGAAAGTTACATGCATAATTCATTAATTTGGATAGAATTGTTTGAAGAAACCAACACTCAAGATATAATGTAATTTTAGTACAAAAGTTAGGTAAATATTTTTTTAAACCAAAAGCGTAAAAACTTTATTAATTAAATGGGAAAATATTGCTTTTAGGAACATCATATTATATTAAAAAAGCTACCTTGATAAGTTTCACAGCGGAGTTTTTAACATCGATTTCATCAATCATATTACAGTGCTTTAAAAATAGATTGTAGCTATTATACAACTCTTTGTCATTTTTGTTTTTAAAATCTGGTTCATCTTCATCAAATATCTGTGTATTATCTTTGAGTCTCAAGATTATGTCACGATATGAAAACAGTTCTTTTGAAGAAATATCCGTATTCAATCCTAACTAAAATTTTAAAAATAAATCATTTACAACCTAAACTTGATATATAAAATCATGTATATAAATGAATATATGTATACGAATATATATATATATATATATATATATATATATATATATATATATATATATATATATATATATATATATTTAGTCTGCAAAATTCGAAGGATTTCAGGTTGGCATTTCAAGCCTGCCAATCTTAGTGACGTCAGGTTGGCAAAAAAAAAAAAAAAAAAATTGGGTTTTTTGCTTTCTGTTACAACAGGGGTAATGATTAATTAATTATAAAAGGATTGCTTTATAATACCATAGCTTCAGACAATAATATTTTAAAGAATGTAGCAATAATATGTAATATTTTAAAGAATGTGTTGTTTGGACTTTAACACCATTGGAAGAATCAGCAGCACTTTCTTTGTTGGAATAGATAGTATCAGGAGTTTTTTCCTCCGTTTCACTCAATCTTAAGACAGCTGCCGCATGCCTATGAGAAGGTAAAATATGGTCTGAAAATTATTTTTTCAAAATAATTGATGTTTCCCGTACAAACTTATCTGTTGCTAATTTAGCACAGCCTTTAATTTTATTATGATAATTTTTTAAAAGCTCTGAATACTCTTGGCAAGTTTTACACCAAATTAAAGTTACTTTACCTTAAAAACTTTAAATGCTTTAAATGCTCTTTAAAAAAAAAATGTATTGAAAAAAATGAATAAATTTTTGTTTTAATAAAACATGTCAAATTTAAAAAGCAAGTAATTACCATAAATAAATTATAACCTAATATTTAATGAACATAACATATTTTTTACATATATTTCAATTTGCATGCCGACACTTTAGGATATTCAGGTCAGCAATTATTAAGTCTTCTCCATTTAGCCAGTGCTTTTGCACTTAAGTCTTTTCATGCTCGCCCACACGCCTGCAAAAACACTAGTGAAAGCATAAAAAAGCGCTTGCCAAGAAAATATATTTAATTTAAATAGCAGAAAAATTAATTTTATAAATCGCGCAGGCTAACATATAAATGACTATCCTGTCAGCGCTTTTTCGTGCGCTGGCATTAAATTTCAAACAGAGAAGACTGATATATATATATATATATATATATATATATATATATATATATATATATATATATATATATATATATATATATATATATATAATAGGGTTAGTTCATTATATATAAAACAATGGATTGTGGGACACCGTTTTTAATTATCCTAATTTTTACATATCATTACAAGCATTATGTAGATAGGTTAAATTTAAAATTATAGTCTTCCAAGTGCATTGGTTTAGAAACTATAGCCTTATAAACACATAAGTATTTGTAACAAGTTTTGACTTTTTCCTTTAGAATTTTTATTTATTTTTATTATAGAATTCTTTAGCACCTTATATATTATGTAAGTTTTTGAAAAAAATGTTCAGCATTATTTTTGAAAGAAACCAAGTATTTTTGAATTTGAGATATAACACTCTTCAATTGTACAAACTATGTTTAAAGTATCACAACAATAATGGTTGTAATTTATTAATGCTCAGCTATTTGTGCCACTATTTTAATTTTTTTAAGAAATGGTTGCACCTGTAATGCAGGCCAGTTGGCAAGTTGGAGGGGCACTGGTTTCAAATAATGCATTCAACCGTTGATAATTGAAAAGCAAGATTATTTTAAAATACTGCAACTTTTAGTGTAAACACTGTTTCAAATAAGTTAAGTTAACAAGTTAAAAATATTTTTATTTTTGTTGTCTAATTTGTTGTATAATTGTTGTCTAACAATCTTATATGCTGTAGCCATTAAAATTAGCAAAAATGTGGTCTTAGACTGTTAGAGATCTACTCCAGCAATTTTTTGCCAACATCAAACACTTTTAGGATGGCAGTTAGGTCGGCATTGCTGAAATACCAAACCTAATTTCAAGGACTAATGCTGAAGTGTATTTGAGTTCTAAACTGCAACAAGCTGTTTATATTTTTCTTATTGAAGAAAAAATTCAGAAAACTTACATTGATGAATAGAAAAATACTACAGTTAACTTCAATTTGGCAATATCTAGAATTTTTTCATTTTTAGCGATATTCAGATTTTTCTAAAGTGAGGAGGCTATAATTTTTCTTTAATATGATAGTATTTTTTGTTAACTTATCATATAACAATAAGGTAACAAAAAACACTAATTTATTATAAGACATAACACTTCTAAAAATAGCATTATTATAAGACAGAACCATCCTGAAAATAGTTCTAGAAGTAATAAGACACTTGTTGAAAATTAGAAAAAAGTAATAAGGCTTATAAGCAGTCTAGGGAGGCCACTATATTGCATTTATAAGGCTATAAATTCTAAATCATTGTACTTGGAAGTTTGAAATTTCAAACTTAACCTATTTATATATTGCACATAATAATGTAAAAATCTGGAAAATCAGAAATATATATATATATATATATATATATATATATATATATATATATATATATATATATATATATATATATATATATATATATATATATATATATATATATACATATATATATATAAATGCAGCATTAGATGCAAATGATGATGTCATACTTAAACAGGTAGCTGCGGGGACTTCAGTACATGCATTGACTATCTTGTAGCCTGCTGCCACAAAGGAGTGTTACTACATTGACTGAGAGTTATAAAATTTAGGCAATTACACCCTTAGCTATGAATTATTTGTGATATATATATATACATATATAAATCTGTGTGTGCTCTTTCTGGCATTATATCTTTTATGATACTAGCACTAGGAGTATAATTACATAAAGTTTGCAGACTCCACCTACCCTTTCCCACAATTAAACTGTGATTTATATTTGAATTTATTATTTCCTAGAAAAACTAATTTTACAACAAAAAAGGAGCCTCGTCTGCCTCATTAATGATCATTTATTTATTTCAAAGAAAAAATTTACCTTTTTTTGTAATAAAATAAATGATAGCTGTAATGCTGCTAACTGATCAGTTTCTGAGAGAAAAGTACTTCTGTTTTTGAGAATAGAGCTGTCGATTATTGAGCTTCGATAAATTTTTAGTAACTCATACAAACCCATGTCTAAATTTAAAAAGTTTCAATAGCTAAACGATATCAATCAATATATATCCATTAATCAAACCAACTATTATGAATAAAAAAAGTTTTTTTTTATTTTTTATATGTTTATCTAACTATTACATATGTGCTATTAAATTATAAGTTATACTATAACTTATAATTTAATAAGATATTCAAGGCTATAACTTTTATATTTTGTTTTGTCCATTATTCTAAAAGAAGAAAAAACAATTTATGATTAGTATATTTATATAGTAACCATAAGACAGGTTGACAGGCATTTCATGCCTATACAAATCCAATTTGTAAACCTTAATAATAATAATTATTATTATTCTTTTGTCCATTGAATCAATAACACCTTTATTAATTGTAGTGTTGTAGATTTTCAATAAATATTTAGGGATTAAAAATTTTGAATCTTAAAGATGTTACAACTTATACTCCTGTTAAACAAACCAATTTTTGCAGATTAATGCAAATAAAAGAGCGCCACAAACCTTGTTTATGTTTTTTTTCTTTAAAAAAAAATGACATGTAAACAAACTTTTATTAACCTTTACGTTTTGTTCTATTTTGGCGCTCAAATGAATTTGAAAAACGGTTAAGTTGACGAATTTCGGGCAGCATCGAATTGCCTTTCGCATCAAGAAAATCCAGGGCCCCGGGCAGCAGAAATCAGATATAAATGTAGGTACCTAAAAAAATAAAAATAATAATAAAAAAGTCTTCATATATAATTATATAATATAGGGAAAATTTGATAAATAAGGGCGCCAATCCGGATTGTTGTCCCAGGTGGCGTGACAGCTCTCGGGGGCCCTGAAAAAATCATAATTTAAATTTATAACAGTGTTGTTTTACGTTTTAGTTTAATAAAATCCTTTTCAATCTAGTTAATGTTAATATCACGTTGTTAGTCTAATTATTTATGATAAAAAAGATATTTTTAGTCACTATACTACACTCTACATTGTATCTCTAAAATAAAGAACCTCATTTTTCGAACTTTTTTTCATTTTAACATATCTTTATCTACTTCAATAATGTTTTGTTTACAGCTAAATGGGCTGCCTTGTAACTTTAATCAAAATAAAATAGAACTTATCTTGCACACCTGATGTAACATTTGCTGCTCTTCCATTGTTATCCATTTGTTTTTGTAGCTGGTTTTAACTATATTCCATAGTTTCAACTTTTTGGACAAATAATTGGACATAATTTTCCAAAATATTTTTAAACTACGCGAACCTTCATTTTTTATATGGTTTACTAAGTATACATCTACTGTTGAAATTGAATAGGTTTTTTCCTAAGCTTTCCAACTGCAACAACTTAAATAGAAAGTTAATACTAATCATATTCCATCATCAACCAAACACATAATACTTTTCTCTTTTTTGAAGTCCTGCGGCTAACTTTTGCCAAAATACTCTAGCAAGAATGATACAATCATTCAACCTCTTTGAGGTATACTTATTAACTGCTTCTAGAATTTTTTTTTAACTAGCTATTCACTGCGTTTTAGAGTAAAGCAGAAAATTTTAAAATTTGATCACCCAGTTTGTTTTTAAAGCCTTTTAGGTAGCGGTATTACTTTAGCCTGTTTATCTTTAGAGTTGTTAAACCTTTAGAATTTTACTGAACTTCTACTGACTGGCACTTTAAAAGATTTATTCTTGACTTCATTAAAGAAAAGCCAAAAAAAAAATGAAATCTTGAATAGCCTTCTTGAAAGCTAAAAAAGGAAATTAAGATATTTTGAAGCAATCTGTCTTTTACTTAAAACTACTTAAAACGTTTCATTTAGAAAGAGATGAAGTCTCTTTCTAAACAAAACTTTTTTTTTGAAGTTTTACTTATTTAAAACGTTTTTTTTAGAAAAAGACTTCAGATAAAACTTTTTTTTTCTAAGGGTCCATCCATAAAGGACGTCACTATATTTTAAGGCATTTTTTGACCCCCTCCCCCTCCCTTTGTCACCAATTGTCCATTTTTGCTATACCCCCTTAAAAAGGACGTCATGTTTTGAGCTCCCCCCCCCCAACTTTTTAAAAATATCCTTTCTTAATTTAAGCATTTTTATTGACATTTTTTACATGTGAATTACATTTTTCTCTGTTTAAATATCATTCAGGAGCTGATTAGGTATTTCCACGTATGTTTTTGCTCCTTTGCCTTTCTGAAAAAGAAAAAAAAATTATTTATTGTTTTAGTCTTATTCTATATATTAAACTTAATCAAAGTGTGTCAGGAGAACTTGCCTCACGCATCATCCATCCAAGGATTTTTTAAATAATCATCAATTGATATGATTGGAATAGAGCAGTCGGGTTCGCCTAAAATAGTTGAATCATTCGGAATATGTAGGCCCTCCGTTTCGATTTCGTCCTCATCGAACCATTCAGCAAAGGCCGCGTTCTCCTTTATTGCAATTACAGCCATAAACTCTCTTTTGCGCTTGGCGGCAATACGAACATGCCTGATTTGCGAAAAAGTAATAGCCATTTGGTTAATAACATTGGAATGAGTAACGCTGACATGCTTTTTGAGCATGACTTGGGAGGCAAAGTACAAGTTACAATGTTTGCAGATTCTCTGAGACAAACTTGATTGCACAGAGGGACACAACAGATCGTAAGGAAAAAGTTTGAATGATTTCAATGATCGAGGAATGGTGCTCTGAATATTGGAAGCGATAAGAAAAAATACAGAAGGAAAACGGTTCTTGCTGGCAACATCTGAAATGGCTAAAGCTTTCAAGCCTACTTCTGACTGGCTAATTGGAATAGGTGGAGGCAGAAATCGACCAGGAATAACATGGAAGTAAAAGCTCCTTTTCAAAGCGCAACATCCGGGATCTTCACATTTCACAATTTACGTGAAATATTGACTGGTGCGCACATGAGAGGCAAACCAGTCCTGATCCTTTGATAAGAGATGATGAACATCGAGCTCCGTCTTGTTGTCTGGATCGATATACTCGGCCACCGTTGGAAACTGATCAATCATCAGACCTGAAAAGACCGAGGCACAGCTATTTCCAGCAAATTTAAAGTTCTGTTTCTCGAAAAGAAGATCCAATGTCCTGCCTTAAATATAAGTCGCAAGGCATATAATTATTTCTTTAAGCCTTGTATACATTTGTATTTTGATAAAGAGTTGGTATTAAAAATGAATTTGAATACCTTTAGAGTCTAGATGAGTTCGATAAGGATCATGAGGTAAGATCAATCCCGCCAACTCTTTACTCAGTGGAGCCATCCTTCTTTCGGCTCGATTGAAAGCACTCCGTCCTGGCGCATTCGTCATGATGAATAAGGCATCCAAATCATTTGTAAGGAAATGATGTATTGCTGTAAACAAAATAAATATTTAAATTAGAAGAAACATAATTATATTAATAGATCGCAATAAAAAACTTGTTAAAGAAGGATATACCAATTTCGATGACTTTAGCGTATCGTGGATTTTCATCTGATCCACCATCAACACGGAAGACAACTACTGGCTTGACCAACTTGGTCAAAAGATCTTTTGTAATGGAATCAAACTCTGGCAGAGTCAAAAGTTGTTCAAAGTCCAATCCGTGAGCATACCCTGTCGATGATGAACAACGATTGAAACAACGATTTCTGCTTTAATTGTGTCTTGAGCATGAGTCTTGGCCTTCTTCGTCTCAATTTGAACTGTGCTTAGGATGTCAGGGCGAGAGACATCTGACGTGGTATCAACGTTATCTATCGGCTCAATAAGTTGATCTGTTGGACTGGAACTCTAAAGCGGAATAACTGGAATGGGAAGGAACAGATCGCTTGGTTGTTTGATTGGCCCAAAATGACATTAAAGAACCTTTTTGTTTCAATACCATTGAGGTATATTTTTGGATCAAAGTCTTTACTTGATCCTCCAAATCTTTCTTTTCTTTGATCTCATTCCATATTTTATAGACTTTTTTTTTGACTATTGGCTTTTTTCTTAAACGGATGAGCATTATTGTACAATTTTATAAGCGAATTTAGAAGACTATTTTTATCCATCCTTTGATATACAGACAACAATGTTGTTTGACACTTTTGCCACACATTGAAAAAATATGCTCTATGTAATGATTGCTGCATAACCAATTCCCTTTGGACAACCATTTGTAATATTCGCTTTAGACAATCATTCATAATTGCTACACAAGCAATTCTCTTCAGACAAATATTTGTAAAACTCTATTTAAAAATCATAAATGATATCAATACTATGTCCTTGACGAATTTCGCAAAAAGAATTTGAACAAAAACCCGTAGCGCGTAACTAGTGATATATGTGATACGAGAAACTACCAAGTGTTTAGCAATATATAATTAATTGTAATATATTTAAATCGTATCACATATATCACAGGTATATAAACTTTATATATAAAAAAATAATATTTAAATAAATATCAACACGAATTTCTTTCTTTTATTACAACGTAACATTCACTTACGATAACTTTAGAAAAACAAATGTTAAAATAAAAATACGTAAAATAAAAAAATTCTATAAAGTGACATCCTTTTCTGATGACCCTTCCTCCCCCTTGTCCTTCTTTGTCCTTTTAATCTTGACCCCTCCCCCCTCCCTATTTACATGACGTCCTTTATGGATGGTCCCTAAAACGCAACGATTAGGAATCAAATTTATCCAATCCAAATTTGAAAAGCATAAATTTGAAAGAAAAGTTGCGTAACTTTATAAGCAAAGAAACTTTTGCAAAGACTTTTTTTTTATATCTTTAAATTTTTAAAATAGAAGTAGAAGGTCAACCATAAAAAATTAGCAAAAACTTAATTGTTTTTTGAACTTTTCTCAAAATTTAATTAAGTATAACTGGTTAAACAAGAAATATAGAATTTTGGACGTCCTAATGATGTCCATAAGACGTCTCATTTCTCGTTTATAAGACGCCCTTAGTTGGTCTCAAATGAAACACTTGAGGACGGCTATTCCAGACGTCCTAAAGACGTTATTTAAATGTTTCTAGAGACGTTTACCTAGAAACATTCTTTAAAAAGTTATACAAAAATGCAATGATATAAATACACACCTTAGACTTTGATTTAATCTAGACAAGGGAAGTTATAAAGAGAAATCAAAGTAAATAAAGTGTAATTTGATATATTTAAAATAAATTAATAATATTATAAAAAATTAGAAAAAATTTTCAATCAAAGTTACATTTTCCGAATTAAAACTAACATAATCTGTAGAGTATAATTGATAGTGTATTATAAATAAAAGAAAATTACTGAAAAATGAAAAGTAAATAAAAAATACAACAGTTGATTATAGTTAATTAAGGATCATTGACCGATATCGATATTAGTGAATGTTCTCTTTAATCGGTTTGAAGAATGCCTAATTACTCTCCCAATAAGTTGCATGGCATCCATTTAGATTAAGTTTTTATTTGACTTAAAAGCAGCATCTAATAAAAACAACAACACAATAGTTCAATAAGATTATAAAATATAATTAAATACATGTCTGTTTCATAGCCAAAGAAACAAAAAAAAAATTTTTTTTAATTGAAATATCGTTTTTAATTTAAAAAATTGATAATAAAAAGTAATGTTAATGAGAATACCAGTGGTGGTGTTACATAGACTTGTCAATTCTTTAAATTTTTTTTTTCTTCTTTAGACCATTTAT